CGAAATCATTGGTCATAGAAACTGAACTTCTTCATCTGAGCCGAATTTTATGGCCGAGCACTTCAGTTACCTGGACTAAAAACGCTGGTAAGCCGCGTGTACCGAGGTTTTCTCCCGAAGCAGAACAACACGTACACTCTCATAAGAACATTTTTAGTGCTTAAAAATTGAATTTAAATGACTTGGATCACATTTTGCAATAGGGAACAACTATATCCGGCCCACTCTAGAAGCAACATACATGCCGTTGGTTCCTCTATGCAGATATGTGCTTTTATTGGAGATCCAGAGGAGGTGGTTCCTTATTGCTTAATGTATTCCACTTGATAAAAGGCACATGAGTTAGTTGGGCAACCCCCCAAAAAAACTCAAAAATCGCATATCTATCTCGGTTAGTAAGTTAGTAACCTTGCAGACTTCCGGCTACGCTTTATTGAAACTGGCAAATTGTTTCATCGAAAGTTCTTGAGGATGTTCTTCCACGATCCTGTTTTTGCAGTTTAGTAGCAATAAAGTAGGCGAATTTCGTTTAAAAATTATGAAACAAGGGCGGTGATCTAGACACACCCTAATCGAAAAACGAGGTTCTCACGCTCGTCGATGGAAAGGGCTTCGCTCGTAGGAGTAGTTTGCGAGAATTAGCCCAATTTTCACGAGGAATTTGTTTAATGCGCATCATTTTTTAATGACTTATTTGTAATTTCTCCTCTGATTTGATGCTACGATCATCGTCTCGGTGGAAATATTAAGTGCTGTAACAGGCATCGATTGTTAATTGCATTTTTTCCCGTTGACTGATTTCATGGTTCATTAATTCTGGAACGAAATGTAAAATTGTACATATTAGCTCACAGTAAATGCAAAGTTTAAATCAGATGATCATCCTATAATTAAAACCTTAATAATCGGTTAGCCCATACATTGTAACCGAAAGTAAACAGTGAGTGTAATCTTGTGCCTCTGGACTTCCTTCAAATCTTTTTAATGACTCTTATCCTTCTTTAGATTACGTACTTGGAGCAATTTTAGTTGTTGACAACTCGGAATGATTTATGAAGTTTTCCCCGCAACGTCCTCTTCTTGGAATGTCCGGCTGCGTTCGCAGGACAAGCGTCGTAATATCCTTTATTCTAACGGAAAATGCAATCGTTGGCTGCGTGAGAGAATCGCCTTTTATAGATGACTTATTACCTCATGTCAGAGGTTCACCCCTTTTGCTTGTAGAAGATACTTTCGCTCTTAAATATGAGTGTCCATAAAAGAAGTTACCATCGTGCCAAAGTTTCCTCGGATTAAAAAAAAAAAGCTATTGTGCCAAAGATCACAAGATAGTTTTTGAGTGTACCACTGCTGTACAAACATTTTGTGAATAAAAATGCCTACGACTTTTGAAACCGAACTGCAGATTTAAGCTGGCTCGACGTTCGTGGTTTATTAAAAACCTACACTTTCAAGATTTGAAAAAAAGTTGTTTGAAATTTCCATTTGTCACGTTTGGAGCTTAAAACTGAGTCCGATTATACAGAGTATGGCTCAGACGTACTCTGCCGTGCTAAGGAAAAACGCCGTATGAACCTTCAAGCGCTGCTAAATTTCCTTTGATAAAACATGAATCCCCTGGTAAACTTATGAATATTTTTCTTCCAATTTTTCTGATAATTTTGCTCGTAATTTCACCTAAAGTTCCTGAAAATTTCAAGGCAAAATATTCACAATTTTCCTCGAAAATAATTACGATTTATCGAAGGAAATATGGCAACTCTCAAATGTTCATACGGCGTTCTTCCTTAGCACGGCAGTACTGTGCCATGGTTTTTTCTCGGTTAACTCAGGTCGGACGAAGACCAGGACCGCGGAGAATCAACCTAAAGGAATCCTCCTAATTGTATGGTCTTGGAGACACTCCAGTCCCCCTTGGGAAGTAAAAGGGAGTTCTCACTAAAAAAATTGGAGTTTACGTCCAAATTTTGAAATCATTTCATTTGAATCGGATGGTATGGAAAATTTTAATCTAAATCGACACCAAGAAATCCAAAATCGGCCTATTCGTGTTCAAAATACTGACCTTTAAATGTGGGGGACCGAGCCCCTTTCAGAAAAATGCAGGTTCGCTAATTTGTTGATGAAACTCCGAAAAAGACGTTTTCATGATTATTAATCGATCGCAAGAAATCCGATTTGGAGGGTCCCGTTGTCCCCAAAGGATTCTCTGGTGGGTACAGGAGTAACCCCAAACTCTTAAAGGAGCGTTTTCCACACTTTTGACCGCAAACAAAATAAAAATTCATATTACGAGTAGGGGCGGTTTTAAAGAGTCAATATTATTATTAGTGGCCTAACTTAATGTTCGTAAAATTGGTTTCCCGAAAATTTCTCTTGAAATAAATGTATCCTTTTATCGAGGCAAATAATCATAATTAATAGATCTCTCGAAACTACCGTCGAGAACCAATTTTCATTTAATTTAATTCGTAAACGTTGCCAAGTCCTTCCAAAAACTATTTTCCCTCCCAAATCATAGCTTTTTTTTTATCATATTTACTGTCGGCTCCTTGGGGCAACGTAATTTTTTATTTATACTTTAGCACAGCTATCGGTAGGTCTCTAGATGAACCCATCGCCTTTAACTTTTCAAACATGAGAATCGCAAAAACAGTGCCGAGCGGCCTTCGAAGGTTAGGTACATAGACTGCACGTGCACAGCGGCCTGCGCGCTGATTGTTGACATTGATAGACAAAGTGATAGACTAAAAGACATAGAGAGTATGGAGCGATCCTGTTGGTTGAAATTCGTGGTTCTTATAGACTAAGGAGGTAAATGATGGACTGATTATAGGGTCCCCCGTGGGTTGCCGTTATTTAGTATATTTCCTTTGCCCATTGCAACCACCAACTTCCACCATTAGAGTCCTCATATAGGATCCAAATATTCTTTTGTCATCTTTGTCTATGGCTTTGTCTATCAATTTCAACAATCAGCCTGCAAGAAGAAAACCTAAGAACCCAGTCTACCTGTTTCATATGCCTGCCGGTTACAGTCCTTACAGTATCTGCGCAAGCAGCTGAAAAGGTTTAATTTCTGCAACGGGATCTGGTGAGTATAAATCTGACAAAGAGGTGCTCTTGGAGCTGTAAAAGGGTTATTAAGAAGAGGCCACCGGGGAGCAGGGTTGGCACCTCCAAGACTGGCGCGCGCGGCCTACCGCACAGCATCAATGGACCAGCATGAGATGATCAGCCACTACTGCCTTTACAGGCTCCTCACCCTCACACTCCGTACTGACTAGCCGGCCGGCCGCGCGGCTAATGTGATGTCGATTTACGCATAGTTTACCTGCCGCCGCCATTGAGAACAAAACCTGTCCACCCCGCCCCACCCCTCTCTCCTCCTCGGTCAAATCATGTTGCCAAACCAGTGAAACATTGTATTTTCAAGACCCCGCGTTAGTAGTTGAAAAAAAAAAATTATGAACGCTACATTTTACATGAGAGTGAAAATGAAAAATATCTCAAACGTTAAATGTGCCTGTGAGATTTTGAAATGGACCATAAGACAATGCATAAAAAACGCATAATACAGGTTGTCTTGTCAACGTTTACAAATAATGCGTCGAACACATAAATTGTTTTCAAATTTAATTTCTTAACTAAGTATATAGCAATTCTCGTGTTCGTCAATTCAAAATTTCCGCCAGTCGAAAAACCAAAGTCTTCTCGAATATAATTAGGCACTGAACTGCCTGCCTTCAATATGTTTTAGGGTAGTAGAATTTTTGTGCTGAATTTTCCTTGACAAATTTTGATGTCTGGTACTTTATGAGAGAATGCTACTTACGATGAAGATAAACACAAAATTCAAAAGTAGAGAAGATTCTTTTACTTTGACTCTAAATAAGTGTTTCTTTCTCACGAATGACAGGCAGTTGCTGGCACACTCGCGTTTGCGTGAGACGAAATGAGAGTCGTCGGGTTCATCGGGTTTCGGTCGGATAGGCAAATAAACTAACTGCATGGTAATGCGTAGAGTATCACGAGCAGATGAAGGCGCTCCAAATTGAGAGCGTGCATTTGAAGTCCATTCCCAGGGAATCCTGTATAGCGCCGGTGAGAATTATCGTCACTTGCCTTGGCTATCCGAAAGTCCCTTACAAATTGCTGTCGATCTTTAATTTTCTGTGACATGATGTAATTAAGGCGTATGCTCGCAAATCATTTCAATGATGAAACTTCGCGACTTGCTTTATGACGTTCCCGATTTTTTTTTTTTTTTTTTTTTTTTTTTTGGGTCACGTTTAAATACTTGAAGGATGACAAATCATCGTTGTTACACACAATTACACGAGACTATTAGTTGCTTCTTCAAAAACATTCTCTAAAAATGTTGAACAATCTTTTAACATCCTTTTAAGAATATAATAAAAGCGATCAATTTGAAATACTGGACTTGAAATGGCTGGTTCTTTCCGATGTCTCGCCGGCATCAGTCACCGAGCTTGAACGATGATATTTGAACTTAGCCGTCGTGACACTGCATATTCATAATTTTGAAGGCGCTTTCTAGGAGCGCACTAGAAAACACATACTCACCAATAAGATTCGACGAGGAGCGGAAAATGAGTAATTAAGGAAGACTGAGGACCAACATTCGAACGAGAGGTCTGAAAACTAAAGAAGGTGAGAGCGAAAGAAGAAGAACGAATGGGAAAAGCGAAAACAAATCAAAAGAAATAGTCGTTTTCAATCAAAGCTCCCTCATTCGCATTCCGAGCTTACACCCGTACCTCGAGAATCGTGGATAAACTGCGCAACAGCAGCGCTAATGCGCGTCAATCATTTCTGAAGCTCGTCCTCCAACCCAACAGAGCTTTTTCAGGAAATTCGATAGTCCTCCCGCAAAAAATTATACTCCTGCTGACCAACTGCACACTTTGGCAATATCGTCTCACCTGTTGCCTCGCTGCCGCCACCGCGCCGCTAGTCCTCTACTCCTCTCGCGAAGCGGACCGAGCGATCCAGCGAATCAGTGCCGTGGTTTGAACCGAGCCGCTAACACATGACCTCCTTCGTTCACCGGCTCCTCCGATCCCCGTGACTGTTTCGTGTACCGTCCAGTGCGTTCTCAGACGGAGATAATCCAGCTTTCGCAATTTTTAATACGAACCCCAGTTTTTAGTCTTGAATTTGAAGTTGGCGTTTGCTTACGTGGTCCAGCGCTCGGCCCTCGTCGAATGAGTTAAGAACTCGACTGTTAAAATGTCCGGAGGACCCTCTCCATTGCTCCAACTCTCGCTGCTTTGCGTGTTCGTGGTAAGTCTATGTTTATTTGCATCATTAAATGGGATAAGGAAGTTGGATCGGCAGTACGCATTCCTGCACTGATAGACTGCACTTCGGTAGTTATAGGGATCGAGTGCTCAAGATTCCATCGAGGGGAGCATGAACCTAACCTGTAAGAGTGACAGTAGGAAGGACTGATTTTCCAATCAGACGCAGGGTCTATATATTAGAGGGCTCGATTTAACCACTCGAGAAATTCCGAGGGGCGCACATTGGATCGAGTCAATAGGAGAGGTCGGACAAAATTTGGAGACTTTAAACGCTCATAACTCCATGTATACAAAACTTTGAGGTTCTAAAAGTGATTCTATTACTTTTCTCGTGAAATTTTCTATCAGAAAACCACTTAAAATTTAAAATATGACGAAATAAACATCAAAGTTTGCAGTTGTAGTCAAAAATTTTATGTCCCACCTTTCGACCTTTTCACCTTTGACTCGATCCACTGTAGGACGTGGGAGCAATAATGGGGGTGCACGGTGCAACACCCATTTTTCCACAGTAATGGCTGGTGAATGTCAGGAAATCTTTCTTGTTTCCTTGGCTTGTCTTTCAAAACCTCAACTTGTTGCCCGTTGGTGTCGAAAACGAATTATCTAGTATTAACTAACTTCTACACCGCATATTGACCCTAAAACCATGAAAATACGAATAATAATCTCTAAATTTCTCTTCTACTCCGGTAAGAGAGTCCACTTGATATTTTTTTAATTTAGCGATTTTCGTATGGGACCACGAATTTTTCAGAGAGAGTTTGTGGAAGGCCAAAAAAATTGCCCAATATTGTGTGTAAGAGGTCACGACGAGCACCTATTTACAAAAAGCAAAACAAATGAAATGTGAAAAGAGATTTGCAGTTTCGCAAACCGAGCGGCTTGGTTTCGTAGTTCCATTATCGATATGTGACTGTCCATGGTGAGGAGGACACCATAGTGTTAAGAGACTCAAAACCGAGCTGCTACTACTACTGAACGTACGTAAAGGACTACAACATGAACATTTTAGCTTAAAAATTACCGTAAAATTTGGCCGCGAAACTTCTAAACATAATTTATATTTGTCGCGGTTTGCAGTTTCTTAAATACAAAATTTTCAAAATCTCAAAATTCACAATTTTGAAAAATGACTGCCATTTGAAAGTTTGGATTTATTTTGCTCTGCGCTCAGGATCAATGTAACTTTATGGTCTGCATTGAAGCAAAAATTAACCGCTTCTCTACAGCTTATTATTATGAATATACTTTACACTACTTTAGCCTGAAAGGATTACAGAAAGGTCGGGCCCCCTTCAAAATGCTTGTTCTCCCCCCCCCCCTTACCCGTGAAAGTTGCGACCACGCGTACCATTTCTTATACTTTCTTGAAGAATGAATGGGCTCTTTCCGCCCTCTCCCCAATGATTGTTGCCAGATTGTACTGAAAACTCAGCACTTTTTCCCATTTCACCCTATGTAAAATATCAGCATTTTATCGCTTAACCTGGCAACCTTGCCTCCACGAAAACTTTCTAGCCATGTTTAACAGATTTTTTTCCCGCTGAAAATCCAAATTTTTTCGACCGAACTTTGAAAAAATTGCTTTCCCGAAGAACTCTCCTTCTGAAACCTTGGTCTCTTTTTCCATTGACGGTCGCAAAAGGTAGGATGTTATGATACAGAATCTTTGACATAATCAATCTGTGAATATACCGAACACCTTTTTTACCCGACACTGAGCTAGACAGAGCTAGATTGAAGGAGATGGGCTTTAGAAGAGTTCCCAAATTGCGAAACCAACAATGATTAATTCTTGAACATTCGAGGAACTAGAGAGACAGAGATTAACAAACTACTCGACATTCTGTATCTGAATCACATGGCATGCGTAAGGAGTGTCAATGATCTTATTGTAAATAATCCTCACAAGTATGCTCAAACACTTGAAATTAATTATTCTCGTGTAAAAGGAATGGAAACTTGACTGAGATTTGAATAAAGGCGGTACAGGGAGCGCTATACTATACTTTTTTAGTTTTCTAAGTTATAGGGCTCGGAGAAGGGCTTCCTCCTAAAGAAGTACTACAAGAGATCTTTTACAAACAAGCTAACGGACAAAACTTGAGACTCAGGTGGCATAGCTTTACCTTACAAGGTTTTTTCCTATAATTTCCCGTGAAAAATAGATGCCGGTTTAAAAAAGTTCCAAAATTTCCAACCAGGTAGTACAGATTTCAATAAATTGCAAAGGTCACAGCTTAGAACATTTCAGATTTACGTTGTCGCAATATGTTGCAACATTTGTAACATCCAAGTTAGAATTAAATCGCAGTTTTAAAGTGCTTTGCGCGTTGCCTAACAAACATGTACAATATTAGCTTATATCTATGTAGCAATGAGCCAATTATTACAATTGACAATGCGTCAAACAGAGAGACGAATAACAAAATTAATTTTAATTTATTTTGCGTCTGAGTGCTGTTTGTCGTATACTTACGTTTAGAATTTGCTTGATGCTAAGATTCTAACAAATTATTGTGAGAGAAAAAGCGTGTCCTGCGGTACACTTCAATAGAATCCTGTCAGCTTTGATTAAGTTATGTGTGATTAAGTAACCAATTATTTTTTCTAGAAGTGCGCAGAAACGCCATGTTTCCATATCGTGCGAAAACCACCTAATCTGCGTAATTGTGCGAAAACGTCTTGCAGTCTTCCCCGAAGACGGGCTTAAATATAAAAGTAATTAAGAGGAGAAGAACAACGTAAGTACCGTAAAAATACAGCACGCGACCGGAAGACCAAAAATGTCATACAAGAATTTGCATTAATTTACTAGCTGTATCTCGAAGCGTGGATCCTTCGGCTATTTGCACAACAGAAAACACCGACGCATTATAAGTCAGGAATCATCCCTAATTTAAGTTGCGTAGTGCCCGAGGGAGTGTGTGATCATCGTAACATTAATGTTACAGAAAAGTCAGGGTGGAAGGCAAAGCGTTAACGCAACGATATTGAGTGATTTCCCCGTATTTCCAAAATCCCAGGCATTGATACTTAATAATAAAAGGCGCAGTAGGAAGTCACTGTTTTATACTCATGACGGTGTTCTCTTAGCCTAAATCAATTGTTCTGTTCCGATTCAGCGCAATTCTTCAATATTTGCTTAATTTTTTAGTTGGCGCCTGTACAGCGTCATTGAATTACGGGAGAGGTGGGAAGTGTATTGGTGTAAAAATACTGCAAACTTAGCCCTACACTATTAAAAAATACATGACTTTAGCCAACTTTAACATAATATGTAAGTAAAAAATGCTAGCTTAAGTTAGTCTCAGCTCTGGAATTAACTTTAATTCCCGTTTAGAAGATAGGTCAGTGGCCCAAAAAGATCAGAATATGTAATTATTCCTCGCAATCCGTCATTTTTGCTTTGCAACCAATTTCTGAATTTGTCATATGGAAAAATACCTAATTTTACTAGAAACTGTAAACTCTTTTATTGACGAGTGAAAGGGGGGGGGCTTCACTTCCAGAAATCGTCTCTTGACCCAAAGGTTGCTTCTAGTTTGCGGACGGTACCAAAAACGCAAACCCTAAACGTGAGAAACCCCAAAAGCGCAAGGGAGAGTGTCCAGATAATTTCATTATAACGCCTGAATGCAACTATTCGAGCTCCATGGATGTCCGTGTTGCGTGCGCATGAAAATGAAGGCGTTTTGACTGTCCAGGAACTTACCGCTTCCCCCGCGCCACGGCCGACACGGAACTACGTTGTTGAGCAGTGCTGCGAGGATCTTGGAGGACATAGCTCGTTCCTGTTGTAACGATTCCTATTTTTTATGCTACAAAAACATTTCTGAGGCATGAATAGTTGCTCTACAAATCATGGTCAGCGCATCGGGATATTCAATCAGAAGCACAAAATATTCTCACAGCCTGATCCTGTGCGCGAAAATTCGTATTAGTGCCCAAGAGATGTCTTTGTGTTAGAAATGACGAATTTAAGGTGCTTTGTCATTTTGAATCCTCGCAATACAGCTCGCCATCGCGTGTGAAGCGTGAGTGGCTGGAGAGTTAAAACGCCTGCAATTCCATGCTTATGCAATACGGACATCCGTGGAGCTCGAATAGTTGTATCCAGGCGTCATGATGAATTCGTCCAGTGTTCGTTGCATGCGACAACGAACTGAGGGTACTTTGCTTATTTTTCTCTCGCCTTAACTGAATTCAAGCGTTACCTTTTTCGCGGATGAGATAAAATTTTACTCATTTCAATCGCGACATCGTCAATTTTCCGAAAAATGCCTTTTTAATGCGTAAGTAATTTAGTGACGACTCCTGCCACGTGGTTGAGTGCCAAACATTACATCTCTGGTGGAGATTTCCGGATATTTCCCGCAAAATTAATCCTCTTTAGCTTGCAGCATCAAAAACCAATAATTTCACGCAAACTTACTTCCATAGGATATTTATTTCAAGATATTTCCAAGTCTTGTATCCAGAGCGAATTTCCTTTCCTGGAACCCAACTTTTATTGTTCCGTGTGTGAGGGTTTCATACCACAGTCCAGCCGTGCTGCTGAAGGGAGAAGTAACGACTCAATTTTTGAAATTCAGTTTCTTCAGCGTACCTATTTTGACCATTTTAAGTCGAAGGGGTGGTCGATTCCGCCGAAAAGCGAAACTGTTTTTCTGCGAAAACGAGAGATATCAGAGAGTAGTAAACACGTTAAAAATTGTCGTCATTTCCGACAAGACGGCAATAATTGGACGCATTAACATACGCGCGAGAGCTGTACTTACGCTGTCTCGTGAAAATTGCTATTATCTCTACCGACTTCTCACTATCAGATCCGTTCATCATTATTTTGATGCGTAAACACGCAAGTGGACAGAAGATTCCTCACGGAATTGAATAAAATCATAGAGACCATGATTAAATTACTTCTAATTTGCGGTTGTCTCAAGTGTCTCATCCGTCGTGATCAAAGACTTATGC